TCTTTCCGTGCCAGTTCCTCTTCCGTCCGCGTAGGGGTCCGACCACGCCTCGGAGAGGGCGGTCAGTCCCCACGGCAGAAGCGGAAGAAATACGGCAAAAGAGGTCCGCGAGGACGGAAACACAAGAGCCAATCCTTTTCCCGAAGTTAGGGATCGAACTTGCCGACTTCCCTTACCTACATTGTTCTAGAGACTAGAGGCTGTTCACCTTGGAGACCTGCTGCGGATATGGGTACGGACCGGCACGAAAATCACACTCTCTCCCTCGGTTTTTCAAGGGCCGGCGGAGGCGCACCGGACACGGCAGCAGCGACCGTGCTCTTACGAGAACAGCGTCCCTATCTCCTCGTGACGAGATTCCAGGGACACGAGCTCTTACGAAGAAAAGTCAACTCTTCTCCGGGTCCTCCGACGGCGTCGCCGAGTTCGTTTGCGTTACCGCACTTGGGACACGGGTGCCCCTATCTCCGTGTCCGGGTAAGGGAATATTAACCCTTTTCCCATTCTCCAACGCTTCTCGTCTCGAATAATAATAGAAGCTTTTAATAATTCCATTAGGAAGTGAATCAGGACCGACTCACCCATGTTCAACTGCTGTTCACATGGAACCCTTCTCCGTGCTTCAGTCTTCGAGGTTCTCACTCGAATATTTGCTACTACCACCAAGATCTGCACCGGCGGAGGCTCCAGTCGGGTTCGCGCCCTGACCTTCTACGCGCTCCGCCGCGACCCTCCTACTCCTTTCTCCGTAATATCGACGTTAGAGAAAGGGCCGGGTATGGGCTCGACGCTGGAGCGCCATCCATTTTCAGGACCGGTTGCTTAGGCAGGTGAGTTGTTACACACTCCTTAGCGGATGCCGACTTCCGTGGCCACCGTCCTGCTGTATAGAGCAACCGACACCTTTTATGGGGTCTCTGAGCGTCCCGCATCGGGCGCCTTAACCCGGCGTTCGGTTCATCCCGCAGCGCCAGTTCTGCTTACCAAAAGTGGCCCACGCGCCACTCTGCATCCTTACTCGGGAGGCCTCCGAATCGGGAGAGGCTCCCTTCTCGTCCGTTCGTAGTTTGAGAAGAGGTCGAGTGACACGGGCGTCCCCGAGGCGCTCTAATCATTCTCTCTACCCGGCGAGACTGCTGCCGACGAGCGACGGCTATCCTGAGGGAAACTTCGGAGGGAACCAGCTACCAGGTGGTTCGATTGGTCTTTCGCCCCTATACTCGGGTCGGACGATCGATTTGCACGTCAGAACCGCTTCGGACCTCCAGCCGAGTTTCCTCGGCCTTCGTCCTGCCCGAGAATAGTTCACCACCTATCGGGTCCCTGCCCTCGTGCTCTCGCTCCGTTCCCACTTCAAGGCACGGGCGGTCGCTGCGCCCCCCTCGAGTCAGAGGAGGGATCGCGATCTACGCTTTCGCTGCGCCTCTGGGCTTCGTAGAGTACCTTTAGACTCGCACGAGAGCAAGACTCCTTGGTCCGTGTTTCAAGACGGGTCGGGTGGGTGACCGACCTACTCGTCGCGGAACCGCAACTCCCTCCGCCCGCAAGAGTACATTTCCGACTTCGAGGAGTCGCCCGAAGGACCGCCCTCCACGAGGGACGAGGCGCGTCGGCGACGGACGGGCTTCAGGTGCCCGGAAGAGGCGGACGGCGGGAGGAGCTGGCCCGTGCGGGCACCGGGTCGCCCTCTCTGCATCGGGCCCCCGGGGGACGCCGACGCTCCATAAGGTGCGCGGCGGACTCACCCGGAGGCGGAGAGAAGAAGGCGACCGGCCGCGACTTCCCTAGAATCCCGCGGAGAAGTGCGTCGCTCGACAGCGACTGAGTCTCCGCGGAAGGTCGGGACTTCGAGGGCCCACCCGTTTCCCTCCGAGCAGTTTCACGTCTCTTGAACTCTCTCTTCAAAGTTCTTTGCAACTTTCCCTCACGGTACTTGTTTGCTATCGGTCTCGCGGTCGTATTTAGCCTTGGGAGGAGTCTACCTCCCGCCTTGGGGCTGCACTCCCGAGCAACCCGACTCTCCGGAGGCGCCGGCACCGCCGAGGGGTTCGAGGACACGGGCCTGGCACCCGCCACGGGAAAAGCCCCTGTCAGGGGGACTTACCTCGAACCCTGCGGCGGACCTGCGCGCACTCCTTACGCCACATTTCCCAAATTGCGCCTCTCGACGCAGGGATTCGGCGCTGGGCTCTTCCCTTTTCGCTCGCCGCTACTGGGGAATCACTGTTGTTTTCTTTTCCTCCGCTTACTGATATGCTTAAGTTCGGCGGGTTCTCTCGTCTGATCTGAGGTCGCTTCTCGTTTTCATAGTTATCCCTTTATCTGTCTTACTCCCGGGGGTACGTTTGCGGTCGATCCCCGGGAGAGATCGTTCTCTGAGCCCACGGACGAATCCGAAGGGGCCGTTTGGTCACCTTCCGAGGAAAGAACCTCTGCATGCATCACGCGACCCTCAGACAGGCGAGGCTCCCGCAGAGGAGCGGGAGCCGCAATGTGCGTTCGAATAATCAGTGATCTGAGTGTTCTGCAATTCACACCAAATCTCGCAGCTGGCTGCGTTCTTCATCGACCCGCGAGCCGAGTGATCCACTGCTCGGAGCTGT